TCCCCACATTGTAAAGCTTGAAGAACAGTCCATTAATATAGCAAGTGTCGAAGGCGGTTTTTATGTCCAGTAGGGCAATATGAACGGTGGCGCCTCTTGCGGTGTTGTAGGCTATTGTCTCGTGGAGTAATAAGGAAGTATGTAAAGATGAACATCCATCTAAAGCCGCCCCTTGAAGATGGGGAATGGCTCCCTGCAACCTAGCTTTGTAACGAGATAGCAAAACATTGTCATAGAGTTTCCTAATCACTGACATAAGAGTAATGCCCCTGTGATGAGTGGTGTTGAGGGGATCACGAACTCCACCCTTCAGTAAGGGGATGAGTATGCCTATTCTGAAGTTAACTGGCGTGTACTCATTATCGATAATATTTTGGAATATAAACAGCAACGCTTTTAAAAGGGCAGAACCAGCATTGGCGATGTGTTCGACTGTTATATTGTCCGATCCACTAGCTTTGCCCCGTTTCATTTTCTTAAGGGCTGAACTGATTTCATCAGCAGTAATTGGAATTTCCAGAAATTCGTTTGGATTGTCAAAAGATTTTCTCTGCATTAATTCAATTTCACTGTCCACATGAGCTTTAAAATCGTTGTCGAAATATGGGCTTTCAAGAGGGGTGGCTAGAGATTCAAAATGTTCCCGCCAGACCTGGCGAACCTCATTCGGTTCTGTTACAATCACGCCATCTTTATTTCGAATTGAAATGTTGGATCTCTTCCTACTGCCTCTGCTCTTTTGTACGAGGTGCCAATAAAACCGTTGGTCAATACTTTCAGCTTCGTAGAGTTTCTTCATCTCTTCTCTTTCGTAGTCGATCTGTGCCTTGTAGTACTCTTTGAAGAATACCTTTTTATCGTACTTGTATTGGTTATATAAAATACCATCGCGTGGCTTGCCTGCGTTCCGCCACTTGTGCCATGATCTGTTGCGCTCTCTTACGAGTATGGTTAGAAAATGAGCCCAAAATGGTTTCTGGTATTTCCTGTATCGTTTCATAGGTAAAACCATATTTGCTGATGTGTGAATTACACTGATCAATTTGTTAAGATATACATCAATTTCGTCATTTGAGAGGTGATCACAATTTGACATCTCAAGTATAATTGGATTCACATTGTCATTTATCACATTTGCGTATTCATTTAAAGCATAATATGATGCCTTGTTCCAAGCTACACGTGGTTTGACCGGGGAAGATGTGCTTGTGCACTTTATTACATTGTAAGTAAGCACAATTGTGATGGGGAGATGATCTGAAGCTGTGTTAAAATTTGGACTATCACCAATCACTGAACAGTGTTTGACACTGGAGATGAGTTGGTTTGAAATCACAACATGGTCTATATAAGATCTGTGATTACAGGCGGATTCGTACGTGAAGTTTGGACCAATGCAAGACATAGTAAGATCAGCAATTATCAAACCATTACGTATACAAAATTCACTAAATATTTTGCCATTGGGAGTGCCAGGGCCCCAGCTACGGTGTCCACTGTATAAGTTACCAGGAACATGGGCATTCATGTCTCCCAGCAGCAAAACGTTACCTTCATTTAATGCATGCTTAACATTCATTTCTAACTCTAACAGTGAATCATCAAAATTGTCATTCTTACAGTTTTGTTGCGGTAAGTAAACCGAGAAAATTATTAGAGGAGTATCATCATTGTTTGCACATATTTTAATACACACCATTCGATCATTGGACAGTTTGTTAAGAATTGTGACGTTATTGTCTAATGTGGAACGCCAAAATTTGCAAAATTGCAACACCACCAGAACCAAATTTTACACCACAATTTTCATTTGATAAATGTTTACTGCACTTTGCAAACATGCTGAATTCATTTTCGTTCACATTTAATTGGTTTAAGTTGCACTCATATAGCATGTGTTCACTAACAGCAATGATATCATTATTTTCAAGCAATGCGTGTAATGCTGATTTAGACGTATTAGCCCCATTCAAGTTCCATTGTGCAATTCTAAGATTCTGCGTGCTCATGTTTGGAGGTAGAGTAAGAGATGAAACAACAGAGTACAAAAATACAATGACAAGAAAAATTATTGGATTTACTCCCATGAACAATCATAGTTGTTGTCTCGTGGATAAGCATAATAATCTTCATCGCGTCCTGGATCGTCGTAGTTACCACCACGCGATTGAGATATATACTTGCGTTGATGTTGGTAGCCATTTGCTGTGTCCCGTCGACTACGCTGTTCCCAAACGCGACACGTGATGGGATATGGCCAACACACTGGCTCTAATGCTTTATCTGCTGAAGATTCTGAGACAGCAATCTTGCAGCCCACTCTGTCGATGGCATATCTATTGTGAATTACACTAACTTGCATTATACGTAAGCCAGTAACATGAGCATGAGCCCGAATTTGATGAATTGTATCGTCGTCGTTCTCTCCGTCATCCTGCGCTACGTTTTCGAGATAGAGCATTCGGAAACGTTCGTGTCTCATGCCTTTTAGTCCTTTAGACGGGAAGCGATTACTTGATGTAGCCGGAACCGCGCCTTTGGAAGTAGATTTAGCTGCTTGTGCATACGAGGGTGTCGTGTGCTCTGGACGTCGAGGTTTTGATTGATGCTGCTGCATCAATCCTCCGACATTGTCCTTAGATATGGGGGCAGTAGTTTGAGAGGTGAACGTATTGTTTGCACGAGGGACTTGTTCACATTGTGGCTTACTTTCCGGCAGCACCGTTTTGTTTACGTTATCAGCTGGTTTCTTTGTTGACATCACGTGGTGTTTTTCAGTTACAAGGTGCATAAACGGCTTAGGTGGAATTGTGCCAATTTTATCAGGAAGAGAATTCGAGCGCGCCAAGCTTCTTGTTTGTTGTGAGGTATGCCTTGCGCCTCGTATATTAGCCTCATCGTTGGGTAATACCTTCGAAGTTGAGGTTGAGCTTGATGTTTCAGCCTGATTGTTTGATACTGTGGTCACATTATTAGCATTATTAACAGTTTTAGGTCTGG